TCAGGAAGATGATCTTTGAAATAGTAGCACACCATTTTCTTGGATGTTGGATCTTCATTAAATCTAATTTTCTTCCACCAACTCCTGCCTCTTGAGTTTTGGCTTCCAATGAGCAACTACCCAGACCCCAAACTCCAGTAATATTCTTACATTACAAAGTCTAACCCTGGTACAATCCACTTTTCTCCAATCCCCATTCTTGGCTAAGGATCAGTGCTGTAAGAAAAAAATCAAGACTTGTACCTCATCCCAGCAATTAATGATTTCCTCTAAGATGAATTTCCAAAGACATTTCTAGCTTTACTTGCCTTTCAAGTTTCCTCACTAAGTGTTCCTGGTGGTAAATGCTAATAAAAATGTGAGATGATCTATAGTAAACATAGATTACTCAAGCAATCTCGAGGGTATTGGCTATAATGAAAAAATAATTCTACTTGGTAGAATTGGTAAAATAATTCTACTTTGCTGTTATATATTCCCTTAGGCTCCAAGTCAAGTACTTTCTTGGCCCTACGAATACTATAGTAGTTCCTCAAACCCATCAAGGGAAGATACGTTTCAAGATCCCCAGTGTTTACCTGAAACCACATAGTATCAAACTCTACATACACAGTTGTTTCCTGTACTTACATACCCATGATAATTTGACTTATAAATCAGGCACAGTAAGAGGCTAACAATAAATAGAACAATATACTCTAATAATAAAGTTCTGTGAATGTGATCTCTCAAAGTAACTTATGGTATGTAATGTTTTTCAGCTGTGGTTGACAGTGAAATTGCAGAAAGGATAATCATGGTTAAGGGATGACTACCGTGCTGCAGTCTTAGTTCTTATAGCTTTTGAGTGTTTGAAAATGAAGTGTGGGAAAAATTAGGTAAAGGGTGGCTCATTGGTAAAAACAGCTGCTTTCATTTCATACCCTTAGTTTAAGGTATCCTCATATACTTAGTATACTTTATCAATTAAACATGTGCAACTTTTCATTGAAATTTATTCTGTAAACTTTTAAGTGGAAGTTAAAACACCATACAGGTTAAAATCACAAACTAAAACAAAAACAGTGAATGATCATTTACAAACATTCCCCATCTCTGATTTTACACCTCATTATACAAAGGTATTATTAATACAATTCTAATTCCTTATAAATGTACTGGTCAAGCAACAAGATGACAGTGCATCACAGCACAGCACATACTGTACCAATTATTTGGTGAACGTTTCTTCATAGAACTGATTTGGAGGGTGTTAAGCACTGGTTATAAAATAGGCAGCACATTAACAAATGGAAAATGTAACTTATTAACAATATATTCTATGCTTGAAATTAGATATTTATGGGATACTTTAAAAGTAGACAATTTAAAGTGCTTTAATTCTAGACTGATTACCAGAAATATTTTCTCTGCTTGAGAATCTATATCCTTTGAGTACTGTTTATTGGCTCTTTTAAAGTCAACTTCAAAAACCACTTGAAATTTATTAGTCAAAATCTGAAGTTACACTGGTTACAGTTACATTGAACCATACCTTTTAAGAAATGCTAACTAAAATTTATGGCACTGTTGACTTAAAATTTCAAAAAAGTATTGTTCTTGAAAGTAAAAATGTACTACTTTTTAAATTGTTCAACATATTTTGGTTTGAAATTCCCTATTTTGTGAAACTGCTATAGAATTTCCAACTACAAGCAAAAAGTATGAAGTTGTTCTTAAATTGAGTAATATATAATGCATGGGCCAGCAAGTCTATGAATTGGTTATCCAACACATAATGATGTGTTTATGTCTCTGTTGTGAAAACACCATAGATTTAATTCTATTTTGGCATGATGTAAATATTAAAAACCTTAACAGTGCCATGCATTTATTGGTTTTTTTTTTAACCAATATATTAGATATAAGCAATTGTCACAAAAGTTTCATAGGCAAAATAAAAAGATTAGTGAATGGTTGGTTGAAAAAAAAACAATCTACCATAACCTTTGATTTTACGTTAGTCCTCAACAGATGGCATTCTTGATCACCATCACTGTGTGTGAGCTGCCAGACAAGACTCTAATATGTATATGTTTTTAATGCTCAGAACCTTATAAACTTTAAAATTAACCACAGGTAAGTCTGTCTCCTGGAAAGATGAAATGTATTGTGATGAAGTTATGCTAAGTTCAACTACAAAAGCACTAAAACAGGAAAAAAACAGACACACTATAGAACACAAACAATTCTGTGTTAACCATTTCTTGACTCTTTCTGGCCTCAGAAAAATGTACTATGGTGAGTGCATTGGAAGAGAGGGATGCAGGGGGAAATGTTTTAAACAAAGGAACTAGTTTGTAGAATTCTTCATATTAGAATCAGTGATTTCTATTTACTCTTTTAGGAGTAAAAATATCCAGGTTTGAGCCATTAATATGCATTTGGGTACATTTCCTAAGTAAAATTAAGCAGAATTTCTTAAAATTCTATTAAGTAAGACATTATTGAAGCATAGATATCAATAAATATTAACATGTAAGCCTTTACATTTATTAACTCATGTATTACCCTTGTAGGGGAGATGGTTATATTAGCCATCATTCTTTAATACTGACAGAACAAGAAAACTCAATGGCTACTTAAAATTTGTTGCAATTATAATCTAAATCTGAGATACCCACTATTAAAAAAATAATATACAGTTCAAATAAGCAGACTACTAAAGATCTAACTTAATTATCCTCCCAGTATTTGGAGGTTTTATAGGCATTTTTTTGTTCCCTAACAGAGGATCATTTTTTAAAGATATATATTACTAGTATTAGGCATTAAAAGTAATACTTGAAATCTTTATCACTGTTAATCCCATTCACACAAAAATAAATTACATCTATAAGGAAATGAAATCAGAAAGACGGTGGCCCTTTCTCAGCTGCTGGGGAAGACATCCATGATCCGTATGTTCCCTTTCAGTATCCCAGGGAATATAATGACAGCAGATTTGTTCATCAGGAATATAACTTGGGGCAGAGCAAATGAACTACAAACTATTAGCAAGAAGTATGCAGATATAATTTATACGCTATCATAAAACAGAGGTAATATTCTGTGATGGCTATTTCTTGAGAAACAAGGGTTAGTAACATAAAAGAACTTAAGACTAAAAAAAAAGTAAGTTGACATTGTAATTCTTATAAAAAGCAGATAACACTAAGCCAGGAGGCTCTTTAATCCTTATCTCTCTACCCCAGTAAACTCTAAAATTCAGTTAAAACAAACTTGAAAACCTGTCATTTTACAATGAAGCAGGCATTTTTAACTACTCTATTTTCCCTCAGTACCCAGTAGTTATGAAGTCTTGGCACTTGCTTGTTTTCTCCGAAACACATGCCTTGGATGTGAAGTCTCCCACAGAAAAGGAGTAATTTATCCTAAAATCTCTAAAGTACAAGATACTTTGTAGATTCACAGGTTACTGCTCTAGACTCAAAAAACAAATTGTCAAAAAAATGAATCTTGTACGGGATATATACTTTAACATTTTAAGAGTCAGAATCAAGTTCCACAATAAATAACTGCAGTTGCTGAAAGAAAAATATATATACAAACTATTTTTTCTCTAATCAGAGATACCATCAATTTTAAGATGTAACACATGTATCCCTAAGATAAAATACACACACACAATGCTTTCATATCACATAGAATGTTTATTTTATGTTTATTGAAGCACTTTTTGGAGTCAAATTTTTATCTTGTACATATGTAAAGAATGTGTATGAAATAAATTAGTTAAGTTACAATTATAATTTCATATACTGAGTCCAACTCCTCTGAATCATTTCTAAAATCAGTCATTGATATCTGCATTCTTCCATGAAATAACACTTTTGGTGTACTGGTGATACAACATTTCTTGAAAGAGTGCTCCACTGTCCTGTTTGATGTTAGCAGGAAGCGCTGGACAAAACAATGTTTGACACCTTAAGATCGTCTACTTGACATATGAATCAATCACATTAGTCTGTCATTGCTTTGAATTATTTCACCTATTCCAAGGGCTTTGGCAATTTCCCCCACTTTCTATTGCAATGGGTGGCATAATATAGGAAATCCTTTTGCACATAACTCATTCACAAAATATAGTACAGGTTTCATCTACTTGTGGGTTTCTTAGGTCCTGCAGAACATTTTGTTATGCTTTATAAGAAAATATCGAATTTTAGTAATTCCTCCAGGAATGGACATTTACTTCACTAATACCAAATGTATGCCCCACTACTGTGTTTCTGTGCTTTTCTACATACATAACAACTTTAGGTATCAATCCTGATTCATAGTGTAATCTTTTTGAAGACACTTCTTAATGTTAACTAAACATGACAAGGTTTAATACCAACAATACAGTGAGGAAGCTGTAACAAGCTGTAAGTTCACACAAACACAGACTGAGATAATTACTCATGAGGATTGCCTGGTTGACAATAATCATGAGATGCATCCCAATTTCAGACAAGGTAAAATGTGTGGGAAAGAAATATAATAAAATACAGTTCTTCAAACCGGTAATATTTACCAGATTCACACCAGTGCAAGAAAATAAGCTCAAAAAGACAAAGGATTAAGAGTGTAAGTAGAAAGACAGTGAAGCAAGATTATTTAAAAATGAAATTTGCAATGGTTGAATTTGGTTTTAATTCCCTTTATTTTCATATGGCTTACATGCAAATCTTCTTGAATTGGACTTAAAATCTAAAGTCCAAGTACAAGTGTTCTTCAATCTTTTAGCAAATTGCAAAGCCAAAAGTCATGAAAGACAGAGGCTCCCAATTGCCTTTCATCATTCACTAACACAGGATATGGCTGGGGTTAGTGGCCTTCATCAGCAGGTGCCCTCCTCTGACGAGCAGATCTGATCCTATGTGGAGACAAGGAAGCATCATCTTCTGTTTCAGACCCTGAAGGCTCGTGATCTCCCTCCTGGGATCCAGTGTCTCCCACCAATTCCCGCAGAAACTTGAATTTTGATAAAAAAAGATGCCACACAAAATACCAACCTGAAGAGACAAAAACATGAAGAAAAATTATTAAAAATGTTAACTGAAAATATCCCAATTATGTGGAGAGGTATATTGCAAAACAGTACATAGAATATAAATATGTGATTACAAACGTATATTTGCTCAACAATTATCGAGCATTCACTATGGGCAAAGCATAAGAATAAACTTTGGGATTATACAGAGAGGGCAAAAACAGATTTTTGCCTTTACAGAATTTAGAATACAAGCTTGGTCTATGTACATTACAATTGTAATGAGATTATGAATCTAAGTAAAAACGGTTTTATATTAAAATAAAATTTTTGAGAGCATTTTTCTGGGAAGAAATAGTACACTTAGTTATTTACTTGGACACCCAATGCTTATATTTACTAAATGCTTATATTTACTAAAAACAAGTTTGCTTCCACAAGAATACAAGGGATATTAAATGGCAGGAATCAACTCCACTTCAGTGAAAACATTTCCATCAAGACCAAGGTATTCATAAATTTCAAGAAATAATATATTTTCTTTCATTATATGATAAGAATAAAGCCAAATCACTGGCACCTTAAACTGGAGATGTTATATATATGAATGTATATGCTCACACACACAGCATTCTCATGTTAAAATCATTAAAGTCAGTAACTCTCCTTAAAAAAATTAGCAACCAAACCTGAGTATGTGGATTTAATCCCAGCATAGTCCCTCATTGCTGTTTGGCCTTACGCTTGTTATATCATGCCTCAATATTCAAATTCCTCATTTCTCATGTACGAATTGGGGCAAGGAATCATAATATCTGCTCACAGAGTTGAATGAACTGTGAGGATTAAGTGAGGTGATTTAAAAAATATTTGAGAACAACTGTATCAGCCACAATGCACTCAGAAAGAAGAAACTAAGGCATTTCAATTAAAGCACATTTAAGACAGGGAATTGATTACACAGTGGATGAAAGAAATGAGAAGTCAAGAGAAGTAAAGAAATAACTTGGAAGTTAGGAACAAGAAGCTGCTACCACCCTTAAATTGGAAGAGAAAATACAGGACCATTTGGCAAAAGCTGAAATGGGGAAAAAAATACCAAATTTTTTTTCATTAGGAATTGTAAGGTCATTAAGTTTTAGAAAGCCACAATAAGGAACACACAGTAATCAACAATGGAGGTCATAGGATAAAACCTCTGAACCCATGTGGAGGAAAACCAAAGTGACTCCACGTTGTATAAATGCCATCTGAGGCATGTGACAGGAAATGTCCTAACCTCAGAGGATGGTCGTTGTCCTCACTGTTTCTTTCACCTGTATTAACCTGTACTAGTGATCCCCACACAACTCTACTGATCTTAGTAAAGACACATGTGACATATTCCCCCTGACATCTTTTGTCATTAGTCTGACACAAGAATGACAGTGGTGGGTGGGTGATGAGGATCCTGTCAGGGGTGGGTGATAAGGATCCTGCCATAACTCAAAAAGTCCTGTCCATCAGCACAGGCACCCCTGCATGTGTAAGGTGCCCTTGATATACTTTAAACATGATTAATGGATATGTTCCTTTGTCCACTAGACTGAAGTTATCCTCTCAATTAGAGGGAACTTATTTGTTCTGGAGGTTGCATGCCATGACTGTGTGCTCCAAAATGTTAAGAGCATAAAACAAACAGTATTAGCCATTGTAACAAAGTTTTTCATACAGTGTATCTTCTTGGTGCCTTTTGCTTATATAAAAATAAAATAAAAAAATAAAATATTTTTTTTTAAACAACAAAAAACTTTTTTGTCTCAAAGAAAAGCAATAGATCATGACATATTCTGATGACTAACATTTATAAAAGCAAAATACAACGAGCTTTTCTACTCTGTTTCACTAGTGCAAGATAGGTCACTTTCAGAAAGTTTCTAATTTTACTTGTTTCTTTCTTAAAAATGTATGGAGTGAAAATTTTTTCCCAATCAGTGGGGTGTCTGTGTTGGCTAATGTCTCTTTTGCTATACAGAAGCTCTTTAATTTATGTAGTCCCAGCTGTTTATCCTTTCCTTCACTATCTTTGCTTTGGGTGATGTGTCTTTAAAGATGTTACTGAGGTTTATGTCATGTTGTGTTTTGCCTACATTTTTATTCTATATATTTTATGGTTTCAGTTCTTATGTATATTACTCAACAATCAAAAAAGATAAACATGCCATTCACAGCAACATGGATGGAGCTGGAAGGGATCATGCTCTGTGAAATAAGCCAGAAAGAAAAAAAAAATATTGGATGGTCTCACTTACAGGAGGGATGTAGAGGATCCAAATATGGGATTGTGGGGTGGGGGGGGAGGGAGTAACTATAATAAAGTAAAAATCAAAATCAACAGGCAACTATAAACCAGAGACATTCTGCAGTGGAGGAGAGGGAGTAGGATCAAAACAGGGGTAGGAAGAGCACAAGGGACCACACTGTCACGGGTGAATGGGTGGTGGGAGTTTCACAGGGACTATAACCAAGATGAACATGCATACATTGTACAAAAATGAAAAACAATGTAAAAATATATAAAATAAAATAATAATTAACAAACTCTATGGATGGGCCTCCCTGGTGGTGCAAGGGGTTAAGAAGCAACTTATGAAGTTGTCCGCAGCACAAGTCTGATCGCCCGGGCGGCCAGGGAGTAATCATATAGTAACTGAACCATACTATAAACATATTTAGGTCAACAGTATGTTTGAGTAAGGCATCTAACTTTGTAAGAGCACTTTAATGATATTCCAAACTAGCATGATCTTGTTTCACCCAAATTTCTTTTGTAATAATAGGCTCAGTGAATTAGTGGAAAGAACTATGGAGTCAGGACTCCCAAATCTGATAGAAGATTCAGTTATTGTATAGAATAAATGGGCAGGTATCTAAGAATGTCTGGCATTGTAGTAATATTTTATAAAATGCTCAAAAAATATAAATTGTGGTTGTCCCTGTGGGATCTAAAAAAACTTACATTTTGTTGTCTATTTTTATTATGGAACAATTCACACAATGTAAAATTCACCCTATTAAACTATACAATTCAGTGGTTTTTAGTAATACTAGCTTATCACCATTGTCAAAATTCCGGAAATTTTCATAAACCCTCAAAGAAACCCTATACCCATTAGCAGTCACTTTGTACTTCTTCCTTCCTTCTCCCAGCAATGGCAATCATCAGTTTCATTTTCTCTATGAATTTGCATATTCTGAGCATTTCATATAAATGGAATCATACTAGATAGCCTTATTCTTTCATTTAGCATATTTCTTCAGGTTATCATTCATACTTTTCCATGTATGACTTTCTTTCTTTTTATTGTTGAATACCAGTCCATTGTATAGCTAACTATACTTTTGTTTATCCAGTTAATAGGCAACAGTGTAGTTTTCACTTTTTAGCTATTACAAAGTTTCCACTTTGGGCTGTAATAACCATTGTGTAAAAGTTTCTGTATGGACCTGTTCTTATTTCTCTTGGGTAGAGCCAGAATTGCTGGATCACATGGTAACTTTATGCCTAACTATTTGTGAAACTGCTACACTGTTTTCCAAAGAGCTGCAACATTTTACCTTCCCTCTACATCTTTTTTTTTAAGATTTATTTATTTAGGCATACAAGAATTGGGGTACAGGTCAGAGGTGGGGGGTGAGAGGATTCACCAGAGACAGAGTGGGGGCAGAAAAGGCAGATCTACTGAAATACACTGCTGAGGGGAGCAGTGGGCAAGACAGGAGAGGTCTGCTGCCCCATGTGGGTAGCTCCCTGGCTGGCCGGGGAACCAATCTCATACTGCAGTGTCCTTGGAGGCTGCAGATAGCTTCATAGCACTGTGCTTAACCACCTGCGCCACCAGGGAGGCCACTGCCTCTACATCTTAATGAATACATTTTCTTTTAATTTGGGGGTTCCATTTTTACTCCTCCATATGTTGGACATGTGCCACTATCCTCCAACAAACCACCAGTGCCAATATGCCATCTGTCTGCCTCCCAAATTCCCTTCTCTTTCTTGTCTGTTTGCACTGGCAACCATTAAATTCTTTCACTAAATGCAAGATCTTTTCCTGCTGTATTTTTGCCTGTGTTTGTATTCTGGTTATTAATACTCCACAGATGAGGGAAACCATCTGCTACTTATCTTTCACTTTGTACACTAATTTCACTGAACACAATCACCTCAAGGTTAATGTGTCCCCAAATACACTATTTCATCTTTTAAATAGCCGTGTAGTATTCCATTGAGCATATATTCCACAATTTGTTCCACAATATATTCCACAATATATTCCACAATATATTCCACAATATATTCAATCTATTTGTCTGTTAATGGGCATTCAGGTTGGTTCCATGACTTGACAATTGTGGAAGTTGCTGCTATAAACAAAAAGCAGTGTTCAGATTACATTCAGATTAGAGTTATCATGTTTTTTACCTAGCAAATGTACTGCCTGATCACAGGATTGCCATTTTGATTTTCTTAAGAAATCTCCATACCATCATCCACAGAGGCTGTACCAACTTACATTCCCACCAACAGTAGAGGAATCCCCTTTTCTCCATATCCTCATCAACATTTGTTGTTTCCATTCTATTTTTTAAATTTTATTTTATTTTTTATTGAGGTAACATTGGCTTATACTGCTTTTGGTATTTTGGAAATAAAGGATCCTCTTGCCCCTAAGTATCACCACCTGACTATACCCCCAGTAAGTCACACAGACTTAAGATTAGAACATCAGCAACGGTGCTCCCGTCCCTCTTTGTTCTCATTCCCCCTTCACCCCTTCACCCACTGGATGCTTCAGTTTAATAGTCTTCTTTCAAGGGAATATTTTTGGTATTTTGTTCTTTTTAATTTTTTAAAAATTAATCTGCTATCATTGTTCTACATCCTTGTTACTATTTTGACAATATAAGATTTTGCCCATCAGGTGTGGTCACCATAAGCCTCCCTCCACCAAAGCATGCATAGTCCTCTACCACAGTCAGCTG